AACCTAACCTAACCTAACCTAACCTAACCTAACCTAACCTAACCTAACCTAACCTAACCTAACCTAACCTAACCTAACCTAACCTAACCTAACCTAACCTAACCTAACCTAACCTAACCTAACCTAACCTAACCTAACCTAACCTAACCTAACCTAACCTAACCTAACCTAACCTAACCTAACCTAACCTAACCTAACCTAACCTAACCTAACCTAACCTAACCTAACCTAACCTAACCTAACCTAACCTAACCTAACCTAACCTAACCTAACCTAACCTAACCTAACCTAACCTAACCTAACCTAACCTAACCTAACCTAACCTAACCTAACCTAACCTAACCTAACCTAACCTAACCTAACCTAACCTAACCTAACCTAACCTAACCTAACCTAACCTAACCTAACCTAACCTAACCTAACCTAACCTAACCTAACCTAACCTAACCTAACCCAGTTGCAGTTTGACTGCCAAAGAGATCAGTCGCATTTTTCTTGTGCTTTTTTCTGCTCTTCTCCGTACTCTTAAAATTGTGTTTATTTTTTATGTTTTGAAGTACTCTATAATTATCATATTCTTTGATAACATAAAGTACTTCATTATGGCTCCAAAAACATCTAAAGTTTCAACAAAAGACATAAGCGTCTCATCACTAAATGATGCTATAAGTACTCTCATGACTATCGCTATGGACATTGAGAATAATATAGCGGAGTCTGGAAACATCAAGACAAACATCAAAGAAAGCATACTTCACTCAGCAAAACAACTACGAACTGTCACCGCGTACTTGCAAACAAACGCCGGAAACACAACAACCACAGACATAGGCAGTACTCTGTCTTCATTGATGGAAAATCAGAATTTCATGTTAAAGGAAATACAATCGCTTAAGAATTCAACCAAATCGTACGCTTCAGCAACGGCTAAAATACTTAGCGCTCCGAAAACAACTAAACCTGAAGAACCACAAAGACCAAAGTACTCATCAATCATTAAATCAAACAACGAAAATGACAAACATGAAGAAGTATGGAAAAAGTTCACAACAAACATCCATCCAAAAGTACTCAAATGCGGTATTGCAAACAAAACTCGTCTTTCAAACAACACCATTCGCTTGGACTTTGAAAGTACTGAAGACAGGGACAAAGTAATCAACGAAGTGAACAAAACAAAAGTACTCTCATCCGAACCCGCACGCAAAAGGAATCCATTAATCCAACTAAAAGGAGTACTCAAAGAAACGCCAAAAGACGACATAATAGATGCCATTGTAAAACAGAACTCACAAATAGAGTCATCAATAAAATTAGACGACCAAAGTACTCATCTCAAAATTAGATTTGAACGCAAAAATAGAAGTACTTCACTCATCAATTACGTACTCGAAGTTTCGCCCAAAGTGTACTCTTCAATAAAAGACATCAATAGACTCAACTTACATCATCAAAGAGTGTACTTCGAAGACTTCTCACCGTTGGTTCAATGTTTCAAATGTCTTGGTTTCGGACACACTAGTGCTAAGTGTACTTCAACTACCGATACTTGTGGTCATTGCGCTGAATCACACAAACGAAAGGAATGTCCACACCTAACCAACAAAAACAAAATAAAGTGTATAAATTGCCACAACAACAACATAAAATTTGACACAAATGAAAGTACTTCACACTCAGCGTCTTCAATAAATTGTCCTCACGTGTATCGAATGACTCAGCGAATCACCGAAACAAACGACTATGGATACTAACGCCAAACAACTCAAACTCAAAGTACTCCAATGCAATTTACAACGAAAAAGAACAACACTCAACGAATTAATTCAAAATCACAAAGACAATTACGACATAGCCTTAGTTCAAGAACCGTACGTTTCAAACATTGGCGAAGTACGCTGTCCAAAATCTATTGAAGTCATACAACAAAAATCCGACACTGACGTCAAATCGGCAATACTTATATTCAATCCTAACATAAAATATTTAATCCAATCAAAGTACTCCAATTCAAACATAACAACAATAGACATACTTCTAAAAACATATAGTATTCGACTCTGTTCAATATATAATCCACCTAACACCGACATCTCATCAAAGCTAAGTACTCTAAGTGAAATCAAGAAAACATGCAAGTACTTAATCATCGCAGGAGACGTAAACGCAAAACACTTATCATGGACTAAAGTACTCAACAATGATGACAATGGAAATAAGATTGAAAACTTCTTTATAGTAAACGACATGGAAGTACTTAATGAAGACAACTTACCTACTTTTCAAACCACTCGAGGAGACAACTTAATACAATCAATAATCGATATAACAGCAAGTACTCTAAATATCTCTTCAAAAATAATAAATTGGCATGTAAATACAAATGCTATTACAAGTAGTGATCATAATGCAATTTGTTATGACATAATACTTGACGAGTGTATAGACAACACAAGTACTTCAACACATAAATATCGAACGAAGTACGCTAACTGGGATAAATTTGAAAAGAATTGCTCAAAGTACTCAAATTTATACAACATTAAAGAAGACCGCATAAACAACATCGACAACATAAATACTTTAGATAACTTCATAAGTGATTTGACAAGTACTATTCAAAAAGCCTGTGATAACTCTATACCTATCCGAAAACACAATAAAAAACTTTGTCATTGGTGGACCGATGAACTCAACGTACTCAAAGAAAAACTACTTAAAAGCAAACACCGATTACAAAACGCAATAGGAAAGCACCCAATCAAAGCAATAGAAGAGTACTCAACTCTCCAAATGGAATACACGGAACAAATTAAAAAACATTCACTTGAAAGTTGGAAACACTACATTTCTAAACAAAACAAAGACGACGTATGGAGCAATATATTTAGAGTACTCAAAGACGCCCCAAATAAACAATTGAAAAGTACTTTCAAAGTAAATGGAAAATTCACAAAAGATGCTCAGGAATCTGCAAATGAACTACTTGAGTACTTCTATCCGGACGATACAATTCAAAATGATTCACATGATCAACAAATACTGCGTACTTTATCTGAAGGAACTTATAAAAATCAACAAAATGACAACTCAATCACATATGAAGAAATTATAGAAGTACTTCAAAATATGAATGCGAAGAAGGCACCTGGAATTGATAACTTAACTTCAGACATAATACATAAGTTCACAGTACTTTTTCCAGGAATCGTAACAAAATTATTCAACGTATGCTATGCTTTAAAACTCTTTCCCACTGATTGGAAAACAGCATTTGTAAAAGTACTCCCAAAGCCTGGAAAAGAAAATTACACTGACCTGTCATCTCATCGACCAATTGGATTATTACCAGTTTTCGGAAAAGTACTTGAAGGAGTCATAATAAAGAGGATCCAATGGGACTTACATAAAAGAAACGAATTATCTAATAAACAGTACGGCTTTACCCCACAAACATCAACTATAGACGCTGTAGAGAACGCTCTCAACATCATCAAGTACGCTAAATCAAAGAAAGAATATGTTCTTGCAATTTCCCTTGACATCAAAGCTGCCTTTGACAATGCTTGGTGGCCAGCAGTTATCCATGGGTTGAACTCATGAAGTACTCCAAAAAACACGTTAGAACTTATTAAGCACTATTTTAAAGACCGCAAAGTACTACTTAAATATGGAAATAAAACAGCTACAAAAGTACTCACAAAAGGTTGCATCCAAGGTTCTATCGGAGGGCCAACTTTCTGGAACATAATAATCGATGAATTACTTAGAAAAACACTTCCACCCAATACTCACATACAAGCATTCGCAGATGACGTACTCTTAATTACTCATCATAAAGACAAAAATCAACTTAAAAGTATAACAGAAAAAGTACTTCAAGAAGTAATCGAATGGGGCAAAAAGGTTAAGTTAACGTTTGGAGCGGACAAAACAAAATTAATTTCATTTAATCAAAGACAACAAAATTTACCAATTATTATGGATAACAAAGTACTTGAGTATGAAAATCATATAAAAGTACTTGGAATAATATTAGATAAAGATCTAAAATTTAATAAACATATAGAGTACGCTATAAATAAATGTACAAAAATCTACAGATCACTCTTGAGAGTTGCCGCCCCTACTTGGGGACTGGACTCTGAAATAATACGTATAATTTATTTAAGAGCTATGGAACCAGCCATAACGTACGGTTGTAGTGTTTGGATCGATGGGCTTAAATTAAAGTACTCCAAAAAGAAACTTCTTTCTTTTCAGCGTTCAATAGCTATACGCATATGTAAAGGATTCCATACCCTATCATACACAACAGCATTTGCATTGGCAAACGTTATACCATTAGATCTTAAAATCAAAGAAATCGCTGAAATTGAAAATACCAAACGAGAAAGTACTCTACAATATACAGATTGCGACTTACAACATAAACTAAAATTTACTTTGTTAAAACATCCAAGTCAACGTACTTCCATCACATTCAATGATACAAGTACACCAACAACTGTAACTCAACAAAATGAAATAAAAATCTACACAGATGGTAGTAAACTCGATGGGAAAGTTGGATGCGCATTCCAAGTTTATGAACAATGTACGCCAAAATATTATGAAAAACACAAACTTGGAGATAACTGTTCTGTATTTCAAGCCGAGTTATGCGCAATAGAAAAGGCATTGGAGTACTCTAGACGAAGAAATATTAAATATATTAGCTTATATTCTGACTCTCGATCTGCATTACAATCACTAAGCAACAGAAGTACCAATATTCAAATACACAACATACAACTACTTGTCAATATTATAAAACAACAATCGAAAGAAGTACTCTTCTATTGGACCAAAGCACATGTTGGAAGAGAAGGCAACGAAACCGCTGACTTATTAGCTAAAAGCGCAACACTATCACACAAAGCACCAATATACACAGATATGCCATTAAGTACTCTAAAGAAAATTATACGAGAACAAACAATCAACGAATGGAACCAGCAATACTTAAATTCAACAACAGGAAGTACCCTCAAAACTCATTTTCCAACATTACATGATGTCTTCAAACTTCACAAGAAAACAGGAACAACGTTCGAATTGACGCAAGTACTCAGCGGTCATGGATATCATTTGGAGTACTTGAAGAAATTCAACATAACCACCACTGACGCCTGTCCATGTGACGAAAAATCAACCCAAAGTCTCGATCATCTATTACATTCATGTCCTATATATAATTTACAAAGAAGTACTTTCAATAGAGTATCTGACAAAAATATAATAAAATCATTTGATATTTTAGAAATAATAACTAATAACAAAGTACTCTCAGAATTTAAAATTTTCATACATAATATTGTTAATACATTAAAACAAATAAATAATACATAAATTAATTTTTAAATATACAAAATAATCAACTGTAACTATTACTAGAAATCTATTATTATTGTAAACTATTTTTAGAAGTACGCCATTGAAATTGTAAACCATTGTAAAAAGTACTTTATTATTATTTGTAATCAATTATCTATTAATCAATTTAAACTCAATGTCTTCAATACTCCTTGTATCATTAGCAAGGTCTTTTTTAATATTTTTATTATTATATATACAGAGTACTCCTAGTACTTCATTTATAATTAATTTGATCAATTTTATAATTTATATTTATATTTAATTATATTATTATTTTGTATTTATCACTTTAAAAGTACTCTAATAAATTATTTTATGCAAAGTAAAAAAAAAAACCTAACCTAACCTAACCTAACCTAACCTAACCTAACCTAACCTAACCTAACCTAACCTAACCTAACCTAACCTAACCTAACCTAACCTAAACTAAACTAAGCTAAACTAAATATGTATAATATGTAAATAATGTAATTATAGTTATACTAGTAATTATCACATAATAATAATAATAATACTATTGTAATTAATTTTTTTATTTGTTAATGTTTAAAACTTTATTAAAATTTTATATACTCATGTTGACGTCAAACAATTAGATATTGTTTTATATTAGTAAGTTTTTATTATTATTTTATATTTATGTTTAATCATATTAGCGTAAAATAAAAAATTGTGTCAACAATATATTAATTTTATTAAAAATATATTTACATTTTTTATATATATATTAAATCTATAATTTTTATATTAACAAAAATAATTTATCATCATTTCTAATTGTACTGTAATTATTAAAAAATTATAGAAATAATTAATAAAATACAAATAAGTTATATTAAATTTTTAAATAGTTAATAATACTAGTTATAGATAAAAACTAATGTATTTATATGTAAATTCTAATATAAATTATTTTTTAATTTTTTTTTTGTTATTATTGATATAAATAAGTTTAATTAATTAATCAATAATATTAATAATAATAATTCAATTATAGTTATACTAGTAATATCATAAAACTAATTATCATAATAACAATACTATTGTAATAATTATAGTAAATTTTTTTTTAGTATTGTATTTGTTTTATAATAGAATTTATGATTAAAAATAAAATAAATTAATTGTTGTGTATAATTATCATACATTAATTAATTAATATTTATTTAAAAACTTGTATTATTTTTTCTATACTCATGTTGACATCAAACAAATGTATTATTAATAAGTTTTATAATTATTATTTCAATTAAATATTATTTCAAGTTTTATTTTTATGCTTAATCATACTAGCGTAAAATAAAAACAATTTAGTAATTTTATTATAAAATATAATAAAAATAAAACTAAATACTAAATTACAATTAAATATATATATATTTATAATTTTTTATATTAAATAAAATTATTAATTATCAACATAAATTTCTAATTTTAATTATTAAAAAATTATATATAAAAAATTTTGTTGAAAAATATATGAAAAGTTTTTTTTATAGATTCATTAATTATATTTACAGTATTATATGTTTAGTTTAGTTTTTAATAATAATATTGTAAATGATATTTTCTAGTACCTGTACATTGGGTGTGAAACTAAAAATTTATAGCTTTAATAGTTATATATGTTATTTAGCCAATAAGGGAAAACTAATTTTTATTACTTAAATATATATATATATATATATATAATATAAAACTAATTGTGTTTTAAGTCAGTCGTTTAAAAGAATATTATATATTTTTTTGTAATATTAATATTTTAATCAATAATATTGTTAATATTAAAAAGGAAAATTATCGACAAAATATGTTACTTTTAATTATTTTAATTATTATTATTATTATATTGTTTTATTAGTAAGTATAAAAAATTACTAATTTCTCTATCTCTATCTCTCTCTCTCTCTCTCTCTCTATATATATATATTTAACTAAATTATTTATTTAAATTATTTAAATATTTTGTATTGTTAATAATATTAATAATAAGTGAGTATATGTGTATTGAATGTGTTTGTATGTATGTGTTTGTATGTATGTGTTTGTATGTATGTGTTTAATGTATGTGTTTGTATGTATGTGTTTGTAGGTATGTGTTTGTATGTATGTGTTTGTATGTATGTGTTTGTATGTATGTGTTTGTATGTATGTGTTTGTATGTATGTGTTTGTATGTATGTGTCTGTATGTATGTGTTTGTATGTATGTGTTTGTATGTATGTGTCTGTATGTATGTGTTTGTAGGTATGTGTTTGTATGTATGTGTTTGTATGTATGTGTTTGTATGTATGTGTCTGTATGTATGTGTTTGTAGGTATGTGTTTGTATGTATGTGTTTGTATGTATGTGTCTGTATGTATGTGTTTGTATGTATGTGTTTGTATGTATGTGTTTGTATGTATGTGTCTGTATGTATGTGTTTGTATGTATGTGTTTGTATGTATGTGTCTGTATGTATGTGTTTGTGTATGTGTTTGTATGTATGTGTTTGTATGTATGTGTTTGTATGTATGTGTCTGTATGTATGTGTTTGTATGTATGTGTTTGTATGTATGTGTGTATGTATGTGTTTGTAGGTATGTGTTTGTATGTATGTGTTTGTATGTATGTGTTTGTATGTATGTGTCTGTATGTATGTGTTTGTAGGTATGTGTTTGTATGTATGTGTTTGTATGTATGTGTTTGTATGTATGTGTCTGTATGTATGTGTTTGTAGGTATGTGTTTGTATGTATGTGTTTGTATGTATGTGTTTGTATGTATGTGTCTGTATGTATGTGTTTGTAGGTAATTTTAAAATAACTAATTGAAATGTTCTAGATAATTTTAAGCTAAATAAAATTGTAATTGGTGATTTTATTTTTTTTTATTAATTGACTCGATTGTTTAAAAAATATATAAATGATAGTTGACTGCAATTATACAATTAATTTTTTTAAAAAATGTTCAATTACAATTTTATTTAGTTTAAAAATATCTACAACATTGCCCTTGGCCAGCTTTTAGTAATTCAACAAATTGTTGACCAGTTAATTGTAATTAATAAGTTTTTTAATTTAATAATAAAATATATATATTTGTTATTTATATATTTAAAAAAAAACATTTTATCAAATTAATAACTATTTTTTTAAAAATATAATCGAAATTAAATGTATTAACTAAATATAATTTTTTTTATTTAAAATTAAAAAACAATTCTTAGTTATCTTAACCGTAATCTTAACCAAAACTTTTGGTCGGACAGAGGCCTAAACGGACCGAAACCGTGGATATGGTTTGGAAATACATTCGTACAGTTGTTTCGTCCGATTTCGGTCATCGATATAGAGAGACGTGAAAAATATGGACCGACTTATGGGTAGAATTAAAAAAAATTATAACATTTTTAAATTTATTAATTAATTATTATTATTATTATTATTATTTTATATTTATTTCATATATATATATATATATATATATGTATCTAAAGTTTGTTTGAATCAAATTATGAACCAATTTTAATGACATCGGATGCCCGACTAATCCGAAATATTTTGATAAAAGATTTCCGTAAATTTCGCAATATTTCCGCAACACTTAAATCACAAATCGATGATCCAATCTATATAAATGTCATCGAAAATACAAACGCCGAGTTATGGCAACGTTTGCGCGGAATTATTGGCAAACTGTTTACCGATCAGAAACTTCGGCAACTGATTAGAAAAGTTGATAACAATTTAGTTAATTTAGTCGATTATTTGGACAACCAGTTGACTGGCCAGTCGTCGTCGTCGTCGTCGGCATCTATTGTTGTCGATATTAAACAAATGTTTATCAATCAGTCCATTGATTTGATGGCAAGCGTTATGTTTTCGATGGATAAACAAAATACATTTCTGGATCCACTGAATAGACTAACCCGACTAATGAAACGTCTATTTTTTCCATCCAAATGGCTWATATTAGCCCAACTAGTTCTACCAAAATTTATGCTACGGGTGCTCAATATTACCGATCTTGTATCTGCCGAAGCGCTCGACGAATTTACTCGACTAACTAACCGTGAATTAGCTAAACGACTGAACAATAATATGTCGTCGACCAGTGAACCATACGATGACTATTTTCAATGGCTGATCAATAGGTGTCCGGAAATCATGTCCGACGGCAAAACTGATGAAACAACGGGTAATTTTAAAAAAAATTTAATTTTAATTTTAAAAAAATAATTATAGTACAGTATAAATCAAAAATTACATTATTTACTTAATAACTTATATATATATAGAAATTTTAAAAAATGATCAAACATTGAGCAAAAATGAAGTCATAGCTAATATATTTTCGTTAATTACCGGTGCATTTGACGCCAATTACCTGACATTGACATACATGGCGTACGAGTTGGCCGTCAATCCCGAGTGTCAGCAAAAATTATACGACGAAATTATAACCTGTTTTCGTCGATTAGATAACAAATCACAGAAATTGGGCGATCAGTTTGATTGGGATGAAGTGGTCAAACTTGACTATTTGGATGCCTGTATATCGGAAACATTAAGACTACACTATATTATCAATAGAGACGGACGGGTAGCCAATGAAGACTATACTGATTTGACAACAGGTATTAATTATTATTAATTATTATTAATTGTTTAATAATTATTATAAATTGTTTAATAATTATTATAAATTGTTTAATAATTATTATAAATTGTTTAATAATTATTATAAATTGTTTAATAATTATTATAAATTGTTTAATAATTATTATTAAATATTATTAATTATTATTATTTATTATTACTTATTATTAATTATTATTAATTATTATTAATTATTATTAATTATTATTAATTATTATTAATTATTATTAATTATTATTAATTATTATTAATTATTATTAATTATTATTAATTATTATTAATTATTATTAATTATTATTAATTATTATTAATTATTATTAATTGTTTAATAATTATTATAAATTGTTTAATAATTATTATAAATTGTTTAATAATTATTATAAATTGTTTAATAATTATTATAAATTGTTTAATAATTATTATAAATTGTTTAATAATTATTATAAATTGTTTAATAATTATTATAAATTGTTTAATAATTATTATTAATTATTATCAATTATTATTAATTATTATTAATTATTATTAATTATTATTAATTATTATTAATTAACTATTAATTAATTATTAATTATTATTAATTATTATTAATTAACTATTAATTAATTATTAATAGGTGTTACTATCAAAAAGGATAAAGTGATCCATTATTCACGTCCAGCAGTACAACGTTGTCCAGATTACTACCCAATGCCCGACAAGTTCATACCCGACCGGTTCCTCAAAGACAATAGACATAAATTGATTGATTCAGCATTTCTGCCGTTTGGTTTGGGCCGTCGTATGTGTCCGGGCTATAAATTTGGACTGATGGCCATCAAATTGACCATGGCACATTTGGTGATGCGCTACAAGTTTGTTAAACTTGATAATAACCAAACCGTATTCAAAACCAATCCCATTGTCGAACACTTAATCCATAGTCCAGAAAACTTGTTATTGAAAATTGAAAAACGTTAATATAATTAAATAATTTTTTTGTTTTTTAAAAATTAAATATTTTATTAATTAAAATTTTTACAAGAAAAATAAAAATTTATTAAAATGTAAGAGAAATTTATTAATAAAAATAACAATTATTACATGTATATAAAGTCATTTAAAATGAAAATGTTTTATTTAAATATTTTAAACAATTTATGATTATAAAAATTGTTATTTTATGATTATTATTTTTTTTAATGATTATTAATAATATTAWTTAACAAATACATAATATATTTTATTATCAAACAAATAAAAAAATGTAATTTATATTATTTATTACATTTTCTAAATTTTGAATGTACTGTATTATAATATTAATAATAAATATTAAATTTTTATATAATTCTAGATATTATTTTATTGACTAAAATTATTTAAAACTTATAGTTAAATATAATTTAAACAATATAATATTAATTATCTTATAAAAATTTAAATGTCTAAAAATTGATATAATTGAATTTATGTCACTGTATTATGTTTTTATTTATAACTTATTTTTTTTTCTTAACTATTATCCAAATACATGATATAAACTTTATATATTAAAGTTAGATTACTGTACTAATAATTTTAATAGAAAAAAGTAATAAAAATATTAACTTTAAATAATAATATAGATGTAAAATTTTATTATTAGTTAATTAGATAATTATTAAATAATAATAACTTTATTAAATTGATAATAATCAATAAAATTAATATTATCATATATTATTTTTAAAATTATTATAGTTATAATTAACAAAAATTATCGCTATTTAAAAAATTATTGAAATTATTTATTGTGCTACTATGTTAATATAAATTATTTTATAATAAATATTTATATTTTTCCAAACATGTATTGTATGATTAATTTAATTAAATAAATACTTTAATCTACTACTACTACTACTGAATGTTTTAATAAAATAAAAGTATAAAAGTAAAAAAATACATATATTGTATTAGAAAATTTTATAATAAATGAATTTATTTTATATAATTAATTAGTTTGTTAACTGTTGTAATTTATTATTAAAATAATTTATATATAAATACATAAATATAAAACAAGCAAAATGAATATGCACATTTTTAATAAATAAAATTCCTAAAAAATTATATAAATTTACAGACATTTTATACATAAAACAATATTATTTTATTAATAACAATAATTTTATTTTTTAAAATATGTCGCGATTTATACTTTTGATTACAGCAATTGTTTTTATTTTATGTAAGTTTTTTTTAAATGTATTAATTGATATATTTAATTAATATATTTAATATATTTATATATTAAATTAATAGAAATTATTCTAAATTAAATATAGTTGATATAACTTATAAATAGATAGATATAATTATTTATAGAATATAATACTAATTAGATTTTTATAATAAAAATAAAGAATAAAAACTTATAATAAAATATAAAAAATATAATAATAATAATTTACATTTATCATTTTTGTTTTTGCCTAAATTAAAAAAAATTCAGTAATTCATCAACAACAAATTGTCGATTGTCAATTACAATGCAAATGTCTAATAAGTAATATCAAGGTATGCCATAATCATCAGATTGTGTTAGTCATCAGATTAATAGTCAATGTATTATTAATATTATAGAAAAATAAAATAGTTATTTGTATTTTTAATTGTTATTTACGACATTAATATAATTAAAAAATCAATAATTTTCCAATAATTATAATAAAATTTAATTACTAAAAGATAGATATAAATGCTAATAAATAAATAAATGAAGGAAATTTCCGAGAAAGATTTATTAATTTTATAGATTCCAGAAATACAAAAAAACTTAAAAATTAACAAAAACTTAAATTTTAACAAAAAATAAAATAATAATTTATTTAATAATTAAAAATAGTTGATAAAAGCATTAACGATACACTATGAGTTTTTTTTTAGTATTTTAGTGATTTTTAACTTTTAAAATAATTAATTTTTTAAATAATACTTAATGTTTATAGTTTATAGCTATATAATTATATTTTTAATGTTACTTTTATATAAATACTGACTGAATACTAATTATTAAATTAAAATTTTTTTAGATTTTTTAGTTAAAATTTTAAAAATTAATAATAAAAACCTTTTAATATAAGTATTTATTATTTTATTAACTTATTAAACTATCTTAAACTTATAGTTAAATTGTAATATGATTACTTTTTTCAATAAATAGGTAATTTTTAATTTTTTAGTTTAGTATTTTAATTAAAATAATGTTATTTTTCATGAGTTTTAAAGTTATTTTAACTATTTTACTTATTTAGATCATTAATTAGATTCATATAAATTTTAAAAACATAAAAACACTAAACACTAAAAAAAACTAAAATTAAAAATTTTTAAAAACTTCGGAGCCGAAATTTTAGGGGAGGGTCATTTCTCCTCGTTTTTAAGCGACAATTTTTCTCATTTGGTTAAAAAGTCTGGGAAGGGTAAAATCCAAAAATATCGATCTTAGGGGGTATTTTGGCCTTACCCCCCCCCCTACGCCCCTTACTTTTGAATACATTAATTAGGTTAGCCAAATAAATGTCATATTAGTTCATAATATTATAAACCAATATATATATAATGTAAAAATAATGGATTCAACCATTTTGTTTGACTAATCAATCGCCGCTTATTCCGCTTAGGTATTCTAGAAATTGTTCTAGCTCATTAATTGTATTATACATAATTATTGTTTATTAAAATAATAATTAAATATTATTATTAAATATTTTTTAAATACTCTAGTTTCTGATAATTTAGAAATTAATGTCTATTAGGTTAATAAAAATCATATTATGCAAAAGTTTTTTCCTTTAAATAAAAAAAAGTAAAATATTATTTTAATTAAATATTACAGTATATTATATGGTTTTAGTATATAAAATATCTATAAATTTAGTTAGAATATTGATTTTGTAATTACGTTATTCTAATTGTTTTATCCATAATTAGACTAAGTAAATTTATATAATTATTAAATTTTTTGTCTGATTATTCAAAAATTTATGTTTATTATATTAATAAATGATAAATATATATATATATATTTAGCAAAAGTTTCACTTAAATTAAATTGTAAAAATCTAATTTTTATTAATAATATAATATAATTATTAAAATAATTGAATATACAGTATATTATATTTTGTTAATTAAAAAAACATTTAAATAATTATATATAATATTGATTTTGTAATTAAATTATATTGTGTTCTATGACTTTATTATTTCAAATAATATGAGTTTAATTCAATAGATTTTTTTTATTAATAAAAATGTTTAATTAATTTTATTTTTATTATTAATAATAATACTATCATATTTTAATAATAATTATTATTATTTTGGTGCAATTAAAATTTTATTAACACGGTGCCTCCTGGGTATTTTTATAACAGTTTGATTTAACTGAACATTAGTATTAGTAATTAAAAATATATTATTATTTGGATATTTACTTATGAAATAGTTTCTAGTTACATTAAAAATTTTTAGTAAACTATCCGATAAAAATGTAAACATTGAGAAACCAAACCATACGCTTATAATACCGCCGACTAGACCCAGATACTCTTCGGTCGACATTTTCAATGATGTTTCATAAATCCAATCCGGTTCCATGGGTAACATTAACCAAATATCTATCTGATTAATTACACCAGGATCATCTTGCTTTTCATAAATTGATTCAACAATATAATTTATTGATGTATAATTTTCACAACAATGTACTGAATACGGACATTGATTTTGACAATAGTTTTCAATTTTATTGAATGTTTTTCTATCATTCATTGTTTGTGTTAAATTATTAGTCAAATTAAAATAAAATAAATAATCCAATGGGTATTTATTATTATATTCTAGAGATCTATTAATAATACAATTAATTCTACAATGCTTATACGATTGCCATTTACATTTTGGGTACATATTTTCACTTAATTTTAATTGATAACGCTTCAAATACATTACATATGTTTTATTAATATTTGATAATAATATACCATTACTACTAAAAATATTAATATCCGCTTCAAATCGTTGGCCAACAAACAAATAAATTGTTGGTATAATATCATTAAATAATTTTAATGTAATGATTAATAGTGGTGAATGTTTTTTATTTACTTTATAAATATTGTCATCTATATCATATGTATTAGTTTTATCAATAGACCAATTAGAAAATAATGTTACACATAGAAAATAATTATTTAAAGCTATTTTGTAATCAGTTTCCTTAAGTAAATTAGAAAGAAAATGACTTTTAATTAACCTATTAATTGGTTTTAATAAATCCAATTGCGATCCATAAGATAATTTATTAAAAGACGCTAAATTATTATATATAGATTCATTATTAATTGTTGTATAATTATTATTAATTAATTCCATTTTTTGCCAACAAATTGAAAGAGTAGGCAAATATTTTTTAATATTATATTCAATTCTAAAATAAACAAAACAATTAGCTATTTAATTATATAAAAAATTGCTTTTATGGGGGTGGGGGGGGGGGGGTTCAGGGAAAACTCATTTAACCCACACATTTTCTTATAAAACTAAAATATAATTAAAATAAAAATTTATACCTTGTATTAGTATTTGTATCAAAACTAATGTAGACAGTAGTTAATGTATACAATTGATAGAGACACCCAATTAAACATATCAAACGACAAACAAATAAATAAATATTTATTTTACTAAACATTTTCTTTAATTACTTTATTTTTTTTATTATTGTTTTATAAAATAATATTTATTATAAAAAATAAATTATTACAATTTAGTATTATAATGTTTTATAAAAACAAAATAATATATGCAATAAAATAAAATTGATAATAAATTAACATTATTTTTTTTATTGTAATAAACATAATTTGTTGCTATTAGCTACATTTTATATACTAAATATTTATCTTATATATTATTGGTAAATACATAAATAAA